AAAATTGGGGGTTTGCAAGTAGATTACCATCTAGATATAAAGCCAAGAGAAGGAACAGAAAGGCTGAATGCCAAATATTCAGGAATTCTGGAAAAATCCCTTGCTTGATCATCATACTCATAATCAAAAATGATGTCCTGCTTTTCCAGGGGCTGGCTGAGAATAAGACTAATGGGCTTACTAATTGTAAATAAATTTCTTATAGGTGGGTATCTTAATGTAATGAGCTTGATATGCACTGGCATTGAACTTATTGCTTAACAGGAAGTTTGCGTTAAGAAGAGTAGTTTCAATGTTTGAAGTCTTTGGATTATAATGGTTGAAAACTGTGTTTGAAACAGATAAAAGTGAATCCCTCTGTAACACACCACTCCTCCCCCACAAGCATCCACCCCTAGCTGACACTACATCTGAGAATACCACAAGGCCCCCTTGAAAGAAGTTCCATTGCCCCTCCCACAACGGAGTCTTGGTCTCCAGGAGATTTGTCAAGAGGGTTAGGAGGGACCTGCTGCTTTGCAGAAATGCCATGGTGAGTGTTAAATCAAGCAAAAATAGATTTCTCATTCTTGCAAGCTCAGTGACTCACAGACACTTTGTTGCCAGGTGAGAAACCGTAGCATTGCTCTGCCTTCTTCACCAGCCTCTCCCTTACCCACAACATACACACTTGGGTAGCAAATGTGCTATTACTAGCTGTGGCACATGGCTGTGCAGAACCAGCATAATCTGCACTTAACCACCCTAAACACCAGGGTTCTCAGAAAGCAGAGCCCAGAAGTTCCCTAGTACTCCCGGATTTTCACATCAACACACTGGCAAATGCACACTAATGAAACTCACCCCTGGAGCCCACCCACAGAAGTTGGAGAAGCAGATTTGGATTTGGAAGCAAACTTCAGATATTCCAACGGACTCAAGTTCAGAGAACTGCTGGTATAATAATTTTCTCCCATCCTACCTCTGACCTCAGGAGGTGGGGGCAACGCCAAGTGAGACTGGGGCTCTGCCACCCAGTCTCTCTCTCTCTCTCTCTCTCTCTCTCTCTCTCTCTCTCTCTCTCTCTCTCTCTCTCACACACACACACACACACACACACACACACACAGTCACCTGCCTCTCTTGAGGAAGCCTCAGCTGTCTGTCTGTCTGTCTGTTCCACAAACCCTGAGAGGAAGCCTGCTGAGAGCCCATTTCCGGACCCAGGATCAGCCCGAGGACCCTTGCAGCTCCCCACAGCCATGAGAAGTGGGCACATCCAGAAATGACTAACACCATAGCTGAGGAAGCTCACAACAGCTGTGAAGGCTGGACTCTTCCTGATAAATAGCAGCTGACAGCGGAGACCAGTCTCACAGACCTGGGCAAATAGTGCACTCTCCAAAATATAAAGCCTTCATGCAATTATTTTGCAATGGTTTTAGCTACAGGTTTTACAGGTTTTGGTTGTTGTTGTTTTTTAACATTACCACTGTTTTTGCTGTCCTATATCTTCCTCTTTCTCCACTCCTCCTCTTCCTTCTTCATTTTCTTCTGATACATCTTGGCGTTTTTCTTTCAGAAAGTATTCCTGGATGGCAAACTTGAATCATCTTTGCACATCCAAATAGATTTTGATTTTGCTCTGATAATTGAATTAAAGATGAACTGAGCATAGAATTCTGAATTCAAGATAATTAAATGATATGTTCATGAGTTCTAGGATTCTATGCTCATAATAATTTCCCCTCAGAATTTTGTCTGTTAGCATTAGTGTTCAGATGAGAATCTGGTTACCAATTCTTTCCAAGTGATATGTTTCCCATGACCCCCACACAAGCTTTTGGGATTTTTCTCTTTATCCTTAGAATTCAGAAATGGCATGAGGATGTAGGTTTTCATTATTATTGCTCAGCACACATCAGACACTTTCAATTTGTAAGCTAAATTCTTTCTTCGGCATAGATTTTCTTTTGATTATTTCATTCTCTCAATTCTTTCTAATTATCTGTCCTCGAATTTATGGTAGGCCTCTAGCTTCCATGACTCAGTCTTTGTCTTGTTCTTGTCATTTTCTCTGTTTATTCACTGAAGTGGGAGAATCCCTAACTCAGTCTTCCAGTTCACTCATTTGATCTTCATCCAAGACTGTCTGCACCTCCATCTATTTGCTGAAATATTTTTTATTACAGCAATCATGCTTTTAATTTCCAAGAACTCTGCTGCTTTTTTCTTTGTGTGTGTGTGTGTGTGTGTGTGTGTGTGTGTGTGTGTGTGTGTGTAGAAGAACTGGGGTGTAGGTCAGAGGTGAGAGGATTCACCAGAGACAGACTGGGGAGCAGAACAGGCAAATCCACTGAAATAAACTGCTGAGGGGAGCAGCAGGAGAGCCAGGAGAGGTCTGCTGCACCATGTGGGTTATCTCCCTGAGAGGGGATCAAACTCTTGCTGCAGTGGCTACGGATTGCTACATAGTCCTGAGACTTAACCTCTTTCACCACCAGGGAGGCCCAAACTCTGCCTTTATTTTATTTTTTTTAATAGAATGATTTTTATTTCTATAGAAACAAATCTTCTTGAATTCCTCTGTGTATACCAACTGTTACATTTTTTATGTTCTTTTCTTCCCCAGTTCACTGTTTCATCAGGAGATTGTTGATTTGTTCATTGAGTTTGATGACTCTTCCCCTGATTTTCTTCAATTGTTTCATGCTTTTTAATGGTCTGTTCTCATTTTTACATAAGGGTCTCTAGCATTTAGAATTAGTAATGTGGATACAGTTCCCCAGGGCTAGCAGAACCCTTGCTTTCTGAGGAATAAATGGAGATTGGTTACATTGACTCCAACTCCATTGTCTTGAGGGCTAGAGGATCTGGCTAGTGGCCACTTTTCTGGGGAGTCTCTTGTATCATGACTTCCATTTTATTCAGTTAACAGTAGCTTTAATTAAAAATTTCACTTGGGGAAAAAATTCACAGCTAGCCATTTCTAAAGGAGAAAATGGGTACAGATGTTTACAGCTCCTGAATTAATTGCAGCTCATATTCCCCCTATCCCTGCTGTCCCTGAACTTGGGGTTACCTGGAGTTCTAATTAGAAGGGTCATTTTTTTGGAAAGCCTCTATTTCTGTTTCCATGGGATTAGAGTTGTCTTTGTTCTGTCATGCTTTTATTAATCTGATCACATCTGCTTTATGTCTTCCTCAAATCATCTCTGTTTTGATAATATCCAGCCCAGATTTCCCGTACTGCTTTCAAGTGATTACTTTTTTCTTCTATTTTTTAAAAATTGAGGTATCATTTGCATACCGTGAAATACATAAATAGTAAGTGTATATTCCTACTTTCAAATTCTCCCAATAAATCATATTTAGCACTTACTTGTCTGTCTTCCCACCGGACTCTTAAGTTGAACGAGGTCATAGAGTACGCACGTTAACCAGTTATTCCTATCCCTGGCGAAACTCCTTGCATCTGTAAAGTGTTCCACATATTCACAGAAAAAGGAAGGAATAGGGCTTCCCTGGTGACAAAAGGGGTAAGTCTCAGCACTATGAAGCTGCAGCACAAACTCAATCCCCGACCAGGGAGCTGACCCACATGGTGCAGCAGACCTCTCCTGTCTTGCCACTGTTCCCCTCAGCAGTGTATTTCAGTATATCTGCCTGTTCTGCTCCCCACTCTGTCTCTGGTGAATCCTCTCACCCCTCACACCTCTGGCCTACACCCCCAGCTTTTGCATGCATGAATAAATAAAACAAATCTTAAAAAAAGAAAAAGGAAGGAATAGAGCCAGTTACTGTCAGTCCTAGGTTGCCAGTGGGTGTTAGTATTCCACTCATCTATGCATCTTCAGTGTATGCTGATGTAGAAAAACTACAGATTAGTCATCTCCCTATGTGTCTCATTTCCTGTTCATTCAAAAGCTTGGTGGTTCCTAGGTGATGTATCCCCCGTGTCTGTCTCCCACACTGGCAGTCTCCAGGACTCAGATGACACCCCCCCCTCATTGTACTGACTTGCTCACGTGGTTGTTTTAAAATGGATATGAGTGAGAAACTTTGAATGAGTGCCAAAATGTGCAATGACAAAGGAAGCATGTATTAGCCAGTTCAAAAGATTTCCTATGCTTTGATTTTCTTTGGCAGGTTTGTGGGAGACACCCTAAGTACTCTTGGGTCATTTTTAAATCAAATTACTCCTTCTCATCATCGTTGTTACTTCTTAAATACAATTTGCCAGTACCTGCCATAAAATCAGACTGACAAGTCACAAACCTTAGGTGCTCACAAGAAGCACAGGTTGTCACACATCATCAAGCCACCTGACCTGCCCAGACAGGCCATCTCTCCATATTGGCCAGTTTCCCAACTCACCCTCTGCTGACAGAATTCCTCTTTCCTGGGTCCCTCTCCTTCATAGCCCTGCTCTGTGCTACCTAGACTTTGGGTTCAAGTGACTTAAAATGATCCAAAATGTCGAAAGCAATTAGAATGACTGACTCCCATCATCCAGAGGTTTCATAGACTTAAGATGACCAAACTTAAAGCCACTGGCCTCCAGCTTCTTTCTCCCAGCTCTGCTGGGTCCACTCTGGGGGTTTTTCCCTCCCGGTGATATACACCTGTGGCTGTAGCAATTTATATAGCCTCTCAGCTTCAAATCCCCTGGGCAGAGAAAGCTTCTCTTCCCTAAGAGTTACACAAAAACCTAGTTATCCCTGGGGACAGGTGTCCATAGTTAAATCAACCACACCACTGAACTGATAGTAGGATCAGGGCCACCGAGGGTGTGGGGTCAGCCTCGCCCAAGCCCCAGAGACTGAGCTGGGGAGGAGTGGTTTCTGATGGAAACACAGAGAGATGTTTACTCAGAAGATTAAATAGAAGGTGCTGGTAAGACCAAAATTTGTGGCACGCTGGCGATTCAGAATCATTCCCTTCTCTATCTAACTAATACACATTTTCACAAGTCATAGCTGATTGTAGCTAGATTTTTTTTTTTTACAAGAAGGCAATTTATTTTAACAGAAAATAATTTGAAGAGTCCTGTTCACAGACGGCGACCACGGCGACCCCCCTTCCTGCGGGTGCTATCAGAGGGGATGGGGTTGACATCCTCAATCCGCCCAATTTTCATTCCTGAGCGGGCAAGGGCTCTGAGGGCTAACTGTGCCCCAGGTCCAGGAGTCTTGGTCCGATTTCCTCCTGTAGCCCGGAGTTTGATGCGGAGGGCAGTGATGCCCAGTTCCTTGCACCTCTGTGCCACATCCTGGGCTGCCAACATAGCAGCATATGGCGAGGATTCATCTCGGTCAGCCTTCACCTTCATCCCACCGGTTACACGGCAGATGGTTTCCTTGCCAGAGATATCAGTGACGTGGACGAAAGTGTCATTGAAGGATGCAAAGATGTGGCAGACACCAAATACGTTTTCTCCTTCAGCCACCTGAGGTCCGAGGCTGATCACCTGTTCTTCCTTCTTTTCCTTCCCCTTGCGAGGTGCCATTTCTGCGCGTCTTCTCCAGACTCCGCCACCGGAAAGCGCTAGATGTTTTTTAGCTCCCTCTCCCTGCAGCATTCTAGAGCATTCTCTCATCACTCTGGGTAACTTCTTTTATTCTGGTGTTATTGTTTTAAACTACATCTACCTCAAGAGCTATTTACACCCCAAACTAACTACAAACCCTGGAAATTGTCGGACCAGTGTTGCAGCAAATGGATCTTTTCCCATGCAGCCTGAGATCAAACACTTATGAGACCCTCAACTTTTATATAACTCAAGTATAGAACCTTAAAAGCATACCCATTATATTTTATGTCCTTAGATTTAATCCATTGCATCTACCCTCTGGTCTTTCAGAGCATGATGACTCCAAAATGTACTATAAATGGCTTTCTGGAGACCAAATCTCCACCTCACCCAGGAGTTAAGAACCTGAAATGGCCTCTGACTACCGACCAGGACCTCTCTAGGGTGGTCTAAAGGGGAGATACTAGCCAAGGAGATTCCCCAGCTTTCTTAAACCACACGCTGCATTTGGAGTCTTTGCAAAGATGTAAGAAGCACTACCTAATTTTTAGAAGTATCGTTGTTAGAAGTTTTCTAGAAGAGTTTTGGTCTGATTAAAAGAAAGTTTTATGGGATCTCAGAAGAGGGAGACACACTTCCAGTTGCCATGTTCAGGGTCCCCATTGCATTGAATTTTCTTTAAAAATTGCCAGAAATGGGTCTCCCTGCTGGCACAAGGGGTGAAGTCTCAGCACTATGAAGCTATCTGCAGCCACTGCAGCACGAGTTCAATCCCTGGCCAGGGAGCTAACTACATGGCGCGGCAGACCTCTCCCGTCTCGCCCACTACTCCCCTCAACAGTGGATTTCAGTAGATCCACCTGTTCTGCTCCCCACTCTGGTGAATCCTTGCACCCCCTGCACCTCTGGCCTATGTCCCAGCTCCTGTATGCATAAATAAATAGAATAAATCTTTAAAAAAAAAAGGAAAAGAAAAGAAATTGCCAGAAATGTGGATGCCCTGCAGCACACAAACACCAACGTCCTGCCCCACACGAACAACACGGCTCTGCCCAGCAGTACCTGCTTGGCTGCAATGGAGTCCCAGAAGACTGGAGTCCAGGAGACCTGCCCCTATACCACTACCTGCGGCCTCCTCAGCGTGTAGGATGTTTTACTACAGAATAATTATAAAGAAGAAAAGGACTTGGCATAAACATAAAAATTAATTTGTTAAAACTCACATGTGTGCTCCCTCACTCAGGAACCTCAACTGAGCATCAGCATAAGTAACCTTAATTGTAAACAGCCATTCCTGGAGCCACCCCTTCCAGACCCAGGAGTTATTTCTCCACATCTCTTGCCCAGCTTTCTTTCAGTAAGAGGGGACAGTTGGGACCTCCCTGGTGGTGCAAGGGTTTAAGTCTGTGAAGCTGTGAAGCTTCACTGTGAAGCTATCCACAGCCACTGCAGCACAAGTTGGATCCCCGGCCAGGGAGCAACTCACATGGCGCAGCAGACCTCTCCTGATTCGCCCGCTGTTCCCCTCAGCAGTGTACTTCAGTTGATCTGCCTGTTCTGTTCCCCACTCTGTCTCTGGTGAATCCTCTTACCTCCCACACCTCTGGCCTGTACCCCAGTTCTTGTATGCATAAATAAATAGTCTTTACAAAAAAAAAGAGGTGACAGCTTCTGACTACTGGGAAATGTTCTCTTTGTGGTACTGCTGACATCGAGGTAGATGCTTCAAAGTGTAGGGAAGATTGAGAACTAAAAGTAACAGAAAAGATAGAAGACATTAATCTATTCAAACCCTTTTCTCTATACTCAGAATGTGACAGACTCTTGCCTGATGAAGTGTTATATCCCAATAGTCTGTGTTCATTTTCTGTTTTTCTTTATGTTTAACTGTGACTCCAGGAAGTTCTTACAAATTTGCAGTTTTTACAATTGCTCATGTCAGCTGAGGAATATTTAGTAACATTAACAATTCATATTCATTTAAAAGTTGTGAATATTTAGCTCTAATCCATATAAAGTATATCAGCTCTTTCTGTCAGCAACTAAATCAATATGAAAGTCTAGATTTGTGAATAGTTTTACTTTTATGAAAATATTTCATAAGATTTAATCAAGTCTTTATTTTTTTTTAAAGATTTTATTTATTTATACAAGCACTGGGTACAGTCAGAAGCGCAGGAGGGTAGGAGAATTCACCAGAGCCAGAGCAGGGAACAGAACAGGTAAACTGACGAAATACACTGCTGAGGGGAGCAGTGGGCTGCAGGAGAGGTCTGCCATGCCATGTGGGACACTTGCTGGCGGCCGGGGATCCAACTGGCGCTGCAGAGGCTGTGGGCAGCTTCGCAGCCCAGTGCTCAACTGCTGCGCCACCAGGGGAGGCCTTATTTGGATTTAAAGAGTTGATATTAATTAATCATAATTTGTATTCTATTCTTAACAGAGGATTTGGACATTTAGAAGCTAGCTTACTGAAAATGTATAAATTAACTTAAAACTTTTATTTTGATTAACTGCATTTGATCAGACATATTCAAATTTCATACCTGGGGAACACAATTACATTTTGTTTTCAATCCTGCAGAATTAAGCTGTTTTTGTTTTGTAAAGAAAGTCTTATTGCGTTCATATTAGAGAAGCAGAATTGAGTTTTCGCAGAAACCATATGACTTAAAAATCCTAAAATATATACTACCTGGTCCTTCATAGAAAAAGCTTGCCAATCTCTGCTGTAAGTGAATATTGCTAATGGAATACAAATTGTGTGAAACTCTTTAATTTATCAACACAGTTTTCCTGAAATGAATATTTTAAAAAAGCAGTTTATGGATATATAGATCTTATAAATGATACGTGTCTTCATTTTATTACTCATCCTCACATCATTGCTTTCTCAACAGAACACCCAGACAAGTACAATAATAATTAAATTCAGTCCTCTTTAATAGCCTGCCAATTTTCCACCATATAAAAGTCAGCACTTTCTGGCTTTTCACCTGTTTTTCAATACAAGCTTGGCTTCTTCGTGCTTCAGGCTCTGCAAATAAAGGGACAGTTCTGCTGAAAGCTCCGTGTCCTCTGCACCAAGGCTGAGCCTGGCTGCTGGTCCTTGGGACACGGGCCCCTGTGTCGTGAGGGGAGTTTGTGCAGAGGGCAAGTATCAGAACAGTGGTGACACACTTCACCCTGCGCCCTGCTTCAGGCGTGGGGGTCATAAGGACATCTGGACAGGCCCAGTGCCCGGAAGGACTCCACTTTCCTTCTGTCACCGACCACGTAGAACAAACTTTGACCCTTCAAGTCCCTGAGAGCATCCAGGCCAGATGTGTGGGAGGCTCTGAGAAGGGCTGCTGAGGCATTATCAGCCCAGACAGTTCTCCTGCCCACACCAGCAGCCCTGTGTTTCCCCAACAGCTGTGATCTTGCAGCTACTTACTGCCTGCACTTTGCTCCGCCTGCCCCAGTAGAGCCCACATGCCAGCCAGAGTGACTGGTGCCCATGGCAGCTGTGCCTCTCAAAATGTCAGGCTGGAGCTCATCCCTCTCTGTGGCTGGGTCTGGCAAACATTTCCAAAATATCGACAAAACATTCCAGACTGTTTGCCATCTCTAGCAAATAAAAAAAATACAAGAGGCTCAGTTAAATTTGAATTTCAGGTATCAAGTGTTGCAGTATCGGTATCTTCCAGGCAACAAAAATGGCTAAGCACATCCCATTCTATATTATTACATGGGGATAACTTTTACTAAAAGAGTGTTCCTTGTTTAGCTTGTATTTTATCTGACAACACTAATTCCAGGTCACCTCATCATCCCCAGATGGGTCTTTTCTACGCTGTAGTGTCAAGACTATGGAAAAGATCTTCTACACATGTCTCCCAGCTGCTGACATTCTCGTCATACTAACAGAGGATGGAGCTTTTTATTTTGCCATCCATTGCACATTTGATCTAGGAGGCTAGACTGACAATGAGGAGCTGGGAGAAAGATGAATGGCCTATGGCGCAGAAGTCACATTGCACCTTCTCTGTGTCAGGTACTTTCTTTCTTTAAAGATTTATTTATTTATTTATTTATTTATTTGTTTGTTTGTTTGTTTGTTTATTTATTTATTTCTACAAGCACTGGGTACAGTCAGAAGCGCAGGAGGTTGAGAGAATTCACCAGAGCCAGAGCAGGGAACAGAACAGGCAGACTGACAAAATACACTACTGAGGGGAGCAGCGGGCTGCAGGAGAGGTCTATGCGTCATGTGGGACCCTCGCTGGCAGCTGGGGATCCAACCGGCGCTGCAGAGGCTGCGCCACCAGGGGAGGCCCTGTGTCAGGTACTTTCTAAGCACCTCACATACTTTTACTCATTTCATCCTCACCACCCTTTATAGACACTCTTATAACCTGGCTCTTATTGATAGGAAGCTAAGTCACAGAGGCAAATCACCTTCCCAGAGTCTCACAATTACTAATTGGCAGCACCAGCATCAAGTCTGGGCCTCCCAGCCCAGAATCCATGTTTCCATCTCTTCTGCTCTGCCCATTCTCCGAGAGAGCCAGGGCCCTGACAGGGTGTTGACAATCAACATCTTCATACTCAAACCTCGTCTTGCTGAAAGTCTCGGGATTCACGTCAGGAATGGGGCTGGAAAGAGCCTGCACCAAATTCCACTGCTTCTTGTTTAATGCTCCTTCGGCCCATAAGGTGGCATCCTAATTCCCAGCCTGGCATGGCTCTGGCAGTTTACAGCACACCCCACTTCCCACTCCAAGACTCCCTGAACTCTAGCCTCACGCCATTCATGGCTGCTCCCCAAACCTCCCACACACCCTGTTCCCTTTCCTTGGCATATTCTGCTCTCTCGCTGATTCCTCTTCAGGTTAATTCCAATTTATCATCGGTCCAGAGAGGGTGCCACCAAATATCTGTTTACTCCTCTAACTTCCCTAGCCTCCCTGGCAGTTATGTCGGAGCCATATAATTCTGGCCAGCGTTCCAGGAGCAGAACGAAG